ACTTCTAACAACATGCAGTTTCCTGCAGCCCACCTTAGTGCTTTGCCTTTGGTGCTGTATAATAAATGCAAAAGTGCAAGGGGTTGGAATTTACGTTTGATAAAACCACCTGAAGGTGTATCCCTATAGAAGGTAAATAGGTTGCTTGGATTTTCTGTTTAACATCTGTTTGATGCACAATTTATTTTGAATTACTATGAAACTTTAATATTTTTTAATAATCATTTTTCAGGAATAAACTACCCAATGGCTTCTTATTCATGGCAATGTCCATGATTCTCAGGATTAAATAATATTAGTTCAAATCTTAAAAATCAAATTTCTATAAATCCTGTCAACAAGGGAAAATAATCTTGAATAAGAACAACTAGAAGTACATACATTTTATTCCTTCCAATTCCTATCATTTAAAGCAAAGCTGCTCCATGCACTATTCTGCTCCAAAATGTTCACTCCAAGTCTGAAGCAATAAATGGGGAATATATGAGGAGAATGCCACTGCATTTCCATTGGATGCTATGGAAACATAGAACTGTGGGCGTTCCTGAGGTGTCTGTTTGTGGGTGCTGTTAATAATAATCTGACTCCTATTATTATGACAGTACTGATGGAATCCACAATGAAATACAAGATGGTTCAGCAACAGGAACAAGGCTATATTAACAATGTAAAGACAACTGATCAGAAAGAGAGAGAGAAGGGTCCACCTTGGTGACGAGAAAAGGGCATCCACATGTACATAAACGGAACAACAGAAAGAACTGAACGAGTCCTGAGTCTCGAGTCGTCGAAGATGTTCCACTCGTTCAGGGTAGGGGGAAGTCTCTTGGAGGTGGGAGGTCGAGGAGAGAAGGTGACTCCTCCAACTCATATCCTCTGGTCAGCACCCCAAGGTCCACAGAACCTTGACACTGCCTTATTCTGTACTGGCAAGTTCCAAGTCTACTATGCTACTCCAACTGCCATTTTCTCCATGAGCTCCAACATAATAATAGTGGAAGGATCCTCAAATTACAATTTCTCATAAACAGGATGCTCAAATTTTCCTTTGTAATACCTTGAAATTGAATGATGAGATAAAGCCATACCAAACTTAATTCAATCATGATTATTTTGAAAGGATTCTCAAGCCAAAAGATCCAATTCTTAGTCAATGTCATTCAGTATTTACTGAGACAGGATTATATCCCCTGATTATAAGCAACTGATGGTGAAGGTGCAGACAGGATCCCCACATTGGGTCACTAGGGGTTACTGCCTTTCCCAGGTCATTGAGTACACGCATGTAACATTTCCATGGATTTGTCCTGTAAAATACAGGATTGGTGACTAACACCTATGTCTAGCATGCACTGGAAAAAATGTTTGGGCAAAACATTTTATAATATCAAAAAACAAAACAGATTGTACTGAGGAAGATTTTTAACCCTCATTAAGAACCCACATCAATGAAATCCTTATTTAAAAGTTTCTGTGTAGTACCTATTGTCTTCAACCATCATTTCTGATGTATGGATACTTCAAAATGCATTCAGCCAGGTGATTCAAAGTACATGAGGACTGAAGCCCAAATGCACATCAGTAATTGAGCTAAATAATGTACATGGTCATTTTCTGGTGCCTATTTTTTGGAATGTATGCACACAGATTTCACTCCTTGATTTGTAATACAGGGCTAACTGAATAAGCAACTGCAAACAACAGCTTGATACATGTTGACAAAATCTTCATATGGAGAGCTCAGGTCCTAATCACACCCATGCAAGTTCACCTTCACAACAGCCTTCCCAGTGTTTTCCCCCTTGAACATGCCTATGAAAGCCTCAGGGGTTTTCTCAAACCCTGTTGTCACCGTCTCACGATACTTCAGTCGTCCCTATAGGAACAGAACAAGATATGCACATTGAGCAAGAACCCCCTATAATAAAAAAATAATAAAATAAAAACATTTTTTTACATTTACAGGCACTTTCAAGTCAAAATTCCACAGTGAATGAGAATTTCTTAACTGAATCAGGAAATGGCTTGCAATTTTTATTGTGTGATGACTGAGTGGTATTAGCTACACTTACCTAAATGTTCAAACTGTGAGAAAAGTTAACATTTATCAAATTCTTTGTTCTGTGCATAAGAGGTTTTAAGGCTTGCTCCTGTAGCAGTTAAATAATATGTCCATTTAATGGTTGTTAGAGAAATTTTAATTGCAGATGATGGAAACTTCTTTATTGACCGCCTACTAATACAGTTTGTATGCTTCCCTAATTTATTACTTGAGGTTAATTCAGACTTAATGTGCTGATCATAAAATAATTATTTATTTAATGTTCCAGAGTAGCAGGACATCAAAAAGGGAGCAAAAGGATCAAAGTCAAGTAGTCAAGGAGTGCTCAATCCATCTCCTAAAGTGGCAGAATTCTGAGTCTCTCTTAACTTAGCGTTAAATTTGAAAGAAACATCGAGTGCAAATAAAACTAACATGCATTACATAAGAAGATATTCTAACAACCACCAATAAAAAGAATCTGAGAGTTGCAGACTTCAGTAGGAAACAAAAATACGCCCTCACTCCAGCAAAAATTCAATAATAAGGTAGTTGCTAAAATTACATAGAAATTATACAGATTTCATTTGCTTGTTAAACCATGTTCTCTGTCAATGAATAGCTTCCTAATCCCAATAAGACTATGTCTACACTGCACATTTCAATTCAGCTAAGAAAATACAAAATCACTTCTCATTACCTCCTTGACCCATTCTGCCATCTGTTGTACACCTTCATTCCATCGATCCATCCACCGCAATACCATGAAGCCTTCGATGCGAAGTTGCTTAAACAGCACAACTGGAGTCCACTGAGGCACTGCAATAATGTAATTTTAAAAAGCCACCGAAACATTCCATTTCTCCATTAAACTCCATTGTACTAGGTATTTCAATGAAATCAAGAGATAAATATATATAGATTTTGAGCACTCAAATAGGAAACAACAGAAAAATCTACAAATGAGTATCATTAAACCCAAGGCCATAAGTAAATGATTGCTTCAATAAATGGATCATTTAAAAAGTTTTATTATGCAAGGATAGTTCTTTCTCCCATTATGCACAAAGGTATCCTCAAAAAATGTCAGAAAAAAATGGAAAAAACTCATATTAGCAGTTCATTCTTGAAATACCATCGAAACATGTAATTTAACTTTAAATTCACCATGCTAGCACAAGTCAGAAGCTAAGTTAATCACTGCAACACTGGATTGATTAAAATTCCATGAATGAATAGCAATTTTAGATTCTTTGCAATACCCAAGAAAGTCAAGTCATAGAGTGACCAGAGTGCCCTCACCTTTCGGCTTATTTGCAGGGTCATCATTATAACCACTGATACTTCCACAGATAGCCATACGACCAAAGGTATTCATGTGCTGCATTATCACAGCAGTCATCTCCCCTCCAACCTGTTGAAGCCACAGCCACGGCATAATGGACTCATAAATTCATTCAACATTGGCAAGAAAACAGCATGAGAGATTCATGAAATAGCTAGACAAGGAAATGAAGTATGGTCTCACACAGTCAAAGAAACAATCAACACCATTTGGGGCCGCTTCCTTGAGAGAAGCAGCCAAATCGACAGTCTTGTAATTATATGCATGGTCAAACCCCAGTTCCTTCAGCCACTCCACCTTATCATCACTCCCAGCAAACCCGATCACACGACATTCTATTAATGAAATAAATTTAACCTCACTTTAAAAATATGTCTAATGGTAATGTTGAACACTCCCTTAAGTCTGAGCATAATTCAAAGGCATAACTGAAATTACTGAAAAGAATTGGTAAATTGCTAAGTACTTATTATCTTGAAAACTGGGAAGTAGTCCCGAGCAACAAGAAATTCAGCAGTTGCCCTAAAAACCAAGATGACAAGTGACAGGCAGCAGTCATCTTAGTACATTTCACCATCTTCATGGTCATGTTCTCCAGGATTTTTGCCTGCCCCAGCTTGATGGAAAACAGGATTTTTCAAAAGAAGCACTCTTACAGCTTGATCCTTCATGTTTTCTCATAGGCCTAAGAGGTTTCTACAAAGGTAAGCAGCACAGCATGTTTCACAATGTCTGTCTCAATTTTCATGCAGACCATCTTTTGGTAAGACAAACTAAACTGGTGAAAAAAAGCTAAGATGGAATCTATTTTCTCTTTGATTATATTGTTGCAATAGATATAGTATGCAAAGAAAAGCCTAGCTAATCATACACTGTTTTCGGATTGAATTGGTACCCCCCTACTGTGGAGAACAGAGAAAACACAAGCTTTCCAGACGATCCTCAAGATGTCAAGCCTTCCTGATGCTCCACATGGTTGTTGGATGGTTCTATTAATACTTCACCTTCCTCCCACTAGGTGTCCTGCCTATACTTGATGGAAGCGCTCCTAGGGGGGGGGGGGGGTACCAATTCAATCCGAAAACAGTGTAATAATAAGCCAATGATACCATGTCATGAGTTGAAAATGAGAGAAAAAGAGGCTGCTCTCTTCTCTCTTTTTAATCACATGAAGCCTCTGTCTATAGTTAAAAAATCCAATAAAAGACAAGGAATACCTTTCATTTTGGCGATCTGTCCCACCAGGCTGCCAACTGTTCCAGCAGCTGCATTGACTACAACTGTCTCGCCTTTCTTTGGCTGACACAACTCCAAGAATCCAAAGTATGCAGAATTCCTAGAGCATGAAGAAAGTAAGTCAGTCAAGCAATTGCAACATCTAAAAATTCTAATATTTTCTTTGTCAACTTGACCTGTAGGGTCACAACATAGACATGCAAAAACGTTGGTCATAACCACAAACTTATTTTAAAACAGGTAAGTGGCACCTGCACAGTTTTCCAGAACATGTCTGAAATTAATAACATTCAAGTTAAATCTTGAAAATTATTGCAAAAATGATCGTACACAGCTTTTCCTACATTACCATTTGCGGGCCAGTGCATCCCTGAAATGGAGGCAATGAAGGTCTTACCCAGGTCTGCCACAAGTCCCCAAAATAAGTGAGATGGGGAGTGGAGAGAAGCTGGAGGGGAGCATCACAAGACCAGTAATGTTTTCTGGCAGGGTCCCTGGTTTTATCAGTGTGTGTGTACGCCATCCAACGTTTGCAACCACAGCCGTGCCATTGACATACTTGTCGTTTCGACTCAGGGTCACCCTAATGAGAGTACAGAAGATTCACCATAAGTTCAGTGACCTGAAGCCATCATAGGTTCATCACAGCAGGACTCAATGTGCACATCATGAGATATGCCAGAAACTTTATTCTTTTCCTCATATTAACAGAGTGCTTCATGAATTGTAGCACATGCATATTCCATGCTCCAGCAACTTTCTTAGTCTCTTTGACCTAATGAAAAAATTATCAAATAAAACTTAGTAGTATATGTGGTATACACAGTTTCATACCTTATTAGGTACAAATGGAAAACCAATCATGTCTTTCAATTCTACTTCTCTCAAAATGAGTCACACTAGACTGAATTTTTGAGGAAATTTTGGTTTTCCAAGTCAATTATGGACATGAGATCTGATGCTACAAGGAAGTTCAAATCTCTTGCTGTGCTGGATGCTGGGCTAAGGAGCAAGGAATAACAATGGAATCAAAAGAAAGAGTCATATCTCATACCTGTGCCAGAAGACTGCCTTCTCATTGTATTTCCACTACATGTGAATCCAAATTCTTATTTATGAAGTACTGCTATTTTATTTAATCTTACTGACAACCATTCAGACTGACCAATTCAGAACAATTCAGATTGGTCACCAGAATGGGTTACTGGCAAAAAATTGGACAGAAGCCTGGCTCCAACGAGAACAAAATAGAGGGGCAGGGGGAGAAATTTTTTTCGCATCTCTTTAACCCTATTCATCATGGGTTTTTTTTTTTTCAAAAGATTTATATAAGCAATTTTAGGTTTCACATGACCTAAATGTTGAAAATGTATGCCTGAATTTTCCCCCAGATTTTGGCATGCCAGCTAATGATAGAACCAGGTGTGTGTTTCAGAACACCTCTATGACTGTAAGGGAAAAAGCAAGAAGGAAACCATCCATGTATATTCAGACATAAACCTGTGTTTTCAAATAAAACACTGAAACGTCAATGTTACCAACTAATGTGTAAGAAAAAATTTGAGAAGGACCCATCTGTCTACAAGACAATCACATAAACAGCAAACTATTTTTTCTTACCAACAGGTTCATATTTTCTGCTTCCATAAATTTTTGAAAATTACTTTTTTTGTTTCCCTTCCTTTGGCAGTATAAGCTCCATCAACAACAACTAAAGCAACTATGATTGGTTGCTTGTAGACAGTGAGCAGCCTGGACAGCACCAGTGATGTTGCAATTTGCTGGAGAGGTGGTGGTACTGTCCAGTGCATGGCAGAAGCTCAAAACTATAATGTGTTTCGAAACACCTCAATGATGCATAGGGCTAAGAGTGCAATATGGATTTGCCAAGTGAGGTGTGGGATGTAAATAAATAAAAAAATGATCAGATTGCTTCAGGAGTCCCAGAAAAGAAAGAATGAAAGAACTCAAATTTTCATTCTTTGTGATTTGTATTAAGGAACTGCTAGCAGAGAGTAAAGAGATTTCCTATTGTGACTGATCTTCACTAGTACTACAAACTCATCCATTCAGAGTTAGGATCTCATGTCATAACATTCATGACTCCCAAAAAATGCTACTGATGGTCCCTGCACACATAATTCACCTTAACATGTCTGAAATTGAAATTATGAAGATGACCAATCTCTTGCTCTCATAAAGGGGGCTGCTACATTTGATGTTCCTCATGTTGGATATGCATATCTTGAAAGCCCAGCATCCAGCAAGCCTGTTCCATTTGATTTTCCATGTCATATTGACCCCTTTATTCCATATTTGAAAACCAATACATATAACGTCCCTGAATGAGAATGCAAAATACCAGGAGTGAGAGTGTAAAATGAAGAAAAATGAAGAAGGAAAATTTAACAGCCACTGCTAGTCTTTTTAATCTGAATGAAAGATTTTCAGATTCCTTATTAATCTAACAGACCATCAACTATGACCAATTTTGGTACTGGTACAAAACATGAAAGAGTTCAGTTATAGTTACATGATCTCTGGCTACTTATATAAATCATTAGGCAAAGAATGGAAAAGAGAGAAATACTCATATTTATAAGTGCCCTGCAATATAATGCAATACTTACAGGAATCTTCTTCAACTGTTATGACAATGAGATGGTGGATATACAGTAGTAGCTTTTATATGCCTAGTACTTGAATCTTGAAATGCATTGAACCAATTAAAGAATGTAGGCTAAATAATTAGCTAGCAGAAAACACTTTTTGATCATAATAGCAAACAGAACATACCGTGCAACTTGAGTCCCATTCATGACCATAGGAGGAATTCCAGGTCGCTTCGCACTAGATCTAAACACAGACACACCCAATGCACATTTTAAACTTGATTTATGAAAAGCCACTCCAAAAATCATTCAATGCTGAAAAATTGTATGGATGGAATATCTAGAATCCTCATGAATAGTTTCCAAACTTCATGTGGGATCTTTTTTACTTCTTTTTGTTTTTTAACAGGATATAAAACATGTGATTGGAGAAGGGAAAAATTTGCAGCAGCACTTGAGCAGCACCTGATACCAAGTTTTTATTTGGGAAAGAGTGATGTATCAAAGGATTTTTCTAGAAAAAAAAATTTCAAAAAAATTGGAATAGCATGTGTAACAACAATTGAAACCTCTGAAATTCTCCAAAAAGTGAAGAAATTAATCATAAATACTTTCATATGTCTACTCAAAGGACCTTTAGGGATGAGGATCAGTAGACATGTAATTTATTGAATGAAATATGGATCTAGCTGTGTGGTGGATAATTTCTAAAGGAGGAAAACTTTATCTGCACCTACAGATTCTCTTACAATTGGGGGCTGAACTTCCCTTATGGGTATCCACCCTTTGGATTTGTGTATCTCTACTGAAAAAGGATTTATATCAACATAATAATGCCAAATTCCTGCCATTCCGTTTTGAATAAAAATCCTCAACTCCATCATGTTGGTTCAAGAAATATTGACTTCAAACTCGAGTACTGATTTCACTTTATTTATTCTTAGCATTAGATATTCATATATAAGGATAACAAACATATATAAAAATGGATCACACACATTTGAAAAACACATGTATACATAAGCAACACATTTGTCCAAGCATATGTAAATATGTACAATACTTATTGCTGCATTCATTCCTCCTTCCCAGAATGAAGCTTATAGAAATACTAATACTTACCTCAGATATGGATCAATACTGATGTACTCAGCCTGTATCACAAATTCTGGAAAATAGAATGACATAAGATGAAACAACTTTTAAAACCACAACAAATAAGATCATTCATTATCAACACAGCCAAAACATGACAAGTATGCCCTAAAATCTCAAAATTAAATAAATAATAATAATGGTAATAGGAGTTCACTCTGATACTGTAAAATTGGAAAAGAAAACCTCAACCCATCTTGATTCTTAAAAATCAACCCTCAAATGGTTCCCATGACTCATAGATTGAAATTATGGAATATGACTAATGAAGCTCAGAAATAGAAGACCATGGAAATAGAGGGAGAATAATTTCTCAGGGAGATTTATATAGCCTTACAATCATCACAAAGCTAGGTCTGATATATAATACACATTTCCAATAATAGTAGCATGAAGCATTAATCAGGAGCAGTATGCACACAATCCAACAACCAAGGGAAATGTACTCTCAGACTGTACTTTGAGTTTATAGGAATAAGTGGGAATTGTGCAGTTGGAGATAATCTCTGGTTTGATAAATGAGAGATGGTCACACACTATTCAAATAAAACAACATGTTTCAAATCAAATGCAGTAGGAATGAGAGGCTGCTAAAGATAGAGCATCTAATTCTGGTAAATGTATATCCCATCTTTCAATATAAAATATGCATTGCCAACACAAAATGGGTCTACTGAAACTGACATGCATTCGAGGGCAAATGTCAAACAGAGTTACATCCCAAAGGATCCTTTGATAATCTCACCTTTTACCAATAAGCATAAATTCATGACAGTGTCAATTGGCCAAGCTGGCTCAACCCCAATTCAAGGCAGAGCTGGGAATAATGATCTCTAACATCACTTCTAACAACATGCAGTTTCCTGCAGCCCACCAAACACAGGAATGTCTTGCAAGGTAGAGGAAGCTGCTTCATTTACCTAGTGGGAAGACTGAGTAATCTTTTCCACCTCATCAGCACAAAACTACACAGCTCTTCATTAACGTTGGATATCATGGTTGTTTAAAAGGTCTTATGTAAGGTTAGGAAGTAGATGACAAGCAACTTAACTAATTTAAGATGTCTTGTGCTGGAGTGTGGGCAAATTGAAATCAACTTTTGAAATCACTCATTAAGGGCTCTTTTCTCTACACACTGCTATGACCTTGAGTGAGCTCTCTACCCTAACTACTGTACATAGATATTAATGGATTTCATTGTTCCTGAATCTTAATAGTTACTCTCAGGTTGAATATGCTGAAAAAGATCCACATGGCTGTAGTAATATGATGAAAGCTATCACTCAGGAATACACAACATCTTTTATGACTCAGGCCTAACCTTACAAATTCTTTTCCACTTCAGAAAGCTAGCTCAGCCACAACTTAGAGGCTGAGCTCTCATCAACTGAGGAGATGTCATGAGTCAGGTGACTTTCTAGTTCGTACTGTAAGTCAGGGCTGAGACAGCTTGGCCTATAGACACTGTCTAAATTCTTACAAGACAGAGAATACTTACCTCCAGGTTGGAGTTCCCCAATGTTCTCCCCTAGCACATCTTCTTCCTCCAGTTTGAAGTCAGATGGTTTTGGCTCCCCAACAAACTCTTTGAGGAGGATCCATATCTTGGCACGAATAGGCATCTTCAAGAAGATTTAGCAGTGTAAAAAAAGATAATGGCAGGCCTAAAATCTAAATAACAGGATTGGCCAATGACAGCAAAAATTATCTGCAAGAAGATGGGGTAGGCCAATTACCACAAGATGGCAACAATGTAGGTTTCAAGTCATAATTTATTTCAAATTTAATGAAGATTCAATAAAATACCAACATGGTATGATCAAAGTAAGAATTAAGACAGTGCAAAAACCTCTTTCACTTTATCTTTTAAAGCAGAGGACATGTGCAATGCTTATATAGGTGCCTTAATCAACAGCTCATCAAACCTCCATTGCCATCACTATTAGCCTTTTTTAAACACAAATAAGACAGATGCATCTGCGACAGTTGAGGAATACATGGAAACATGAATTCAACTGAATTCATTGGGATCATCTAAGTACAAGCCAGAGTACACACCAGACAAATAGCATGTGGTGTTTAACCATCAATTAAAAAATAGTAGCAACAGCAGCTTGTCAAACATGAGGCTTGAGATGCCTGATGAGCTGCCACAAGCTAAAGGTCTATGGGAAGGTCCTTTCACACATTTCATTTTCACGTATTTGTTAATATTTAAAATAAATATGAATGAAAGAAAATTCAATTCCCTGCTGTATAATGATATCTTGTAGCTTATCAAAGGAGCCCATGTTGTAATGATAATAATTCCAGGGACAGGCATCAAATCTATCCTAATGCAGGAATATGGCCTGTGATCAGTGACAAAGGTCACATTAGTCATGTTATGAAATGAAAAAACAACAAACTTAGGTAATTTTAATTCTTTCCAGATGTCAAGTCCAATGAAACATGAGCAGGTCATTAGGGAGATTGTAGAAATTGCACATGCATATGAGCTTCTTAACCATAGCTTCATTTGAGTGTTAATGTAAGGCTTGTATCATCCAATGACGCTTTAGGCTATCCCTTGGCTATAAGGGTTACGAATTAAAATCATACGGGCGTTGATACTGGTCAAACGTAGTTGTTTTGTTAATGATCGATGACTGGTCTTGAGTTGTCATGCCTAGTTGCTAATAGTTCGCTGTATTGGGAGCCGCCATGATGCAGGCCCTTTTCCCCCCGATACTTGTAAGATGTCGCTACTCGCCAATTGTGTCTATTTGTCGCCGTCGAACAATCTTAGGCATAATGGAACTGTATGAGTAACTGTTCATTAAGGTAATTTCTTACATACCCAAGTAGCCGTGGGTGATCCAAAACCCGTCCATGGACAGTCCAGTTGTCCAGAGGCGGTCGTCCTTCGGATGTACATAGGATGCGGTCGCCATGGATCGATCTTTTCTCATGCATTCTGAGCTTTATTCGAGCAGAATTTCCCAACATCGAACACTCAATTATTTCCGTCTTATTGAATGAAGGTTTTACGGAATGGCGTTACGAGGATCCGATCCTGGGATTAATTTTGTTCCTTTTTTTCTTCTAATCTCCCATCTTAGGTCCCAACCCAATAACTTCAATCAATATATTAGATAATGTGACATTATAATTGGGCCAGCGCATGATTTCATTTAAATTTCGACATTACCAACGAAACGATGTGTCACTCCTTCTTTGGGCATCCATGGGCAAAGGAACCTTCAAGGACAACTTCTTATGGCCTTTCATCTGGCCTGACATCTTGCAGCTCGTTTAAGAAATATGAATCTCTTGAATGAGATATTAGGATGAGAAGCCGAAAGTATTGTCTCATTAATGCTTCACTTTCCCTCCAAACGCTTCTCTAATTCTTCCAAGGAACACGAGAGGGCGAGATCGTCAATATGCAGAAAATGCTCCTTTCCCACACCATGAATATTAATTAGCATGCAAATTTAGCTCCATTGATACCTGGGGATCACTGTCGCTGCACCCTTCAATGGTTATCTAAAAGCTTTCCAAAAGGGAATCTCCAGTGGATCCTAAAAAACGGACACCCGATAGGCCATCCATTGGACATGTCCAAGGATCATCCTTGGACATGTCCAAGGATTATCCTCGGACGAGACATTTAGTCATCCGGTGGAAGTCCGAGGGGGACACACATTGGATAACCAAGTGTCCATGAGGGAATGTCCAATGGATTTATTATGGATCAAAATTGCTACTTGGGTAGGGTCGCTGTTCATTAACCTGTTACGCTTGACAGGAGCTCGGCAGTTCTTTCTAAGTCTCACTAGGTATCCAATGGCCATGGTTGGTATGCAGCAGGGCCGGATTAAGAAGATGCGAGGCTCGGGGCAAGTCAATTCCTGGGGTTCCCCCCCCCCCCCCCCCCCCCCCCCCCCNTTCGCTGAATTTCCTCATGGCAGGGTCCCCCCCCCCCCCCCCCCCCACCACTCTGGGCAAATACAATAATTTTTTTGTACTCAATGTTTTTAATTTCATTCGGGGGTCCCCCTGGATGAGAGATCGGGGCAGCAGCTCCCTTTGCCCCCCCCCTTAATCCGGTCCTGGTATGCAGTGCTGGGCAAATACTACCCAGCAAACATAGTAGCGTTATGGGAATGTTCCCCCATAGTCAATACAATGTCATTGATGTTGAAGGTCAAATACCAATGTTGCGTGAATATTGTAGCAGTGTTATGGCTTGATGATACCTTCTTAAATCGCATTTTTTAAATACTGTTTATGGTAGTATCATGGAACATGCATCGCCAAATAGGGAAAAATATTTTTTTCCGCAAAACGACCAAGAACCAATCCAGTGTTACTACCCCAGTAACACCAGATATTGGATCAATGCTGGACCAACATTGGGCATGATGTCTACATGCATTTTGCCATTAGTGCCAATACCGGCTAAATATTGGCTCAATATTGACTTCCCAATTTTGCCATTCCATCATCGATGCAATATCGGACTGACGCGATGATCCAATGAGCCCAATTTGCACGGAGGAGTTAATTTTATGGAAAAGTCGAAGTTCTCTTCTTGGCCACTAGATAGAGGTGGGTCTCACTTTTCCCACAGTACACAAAAGCATTCTTCCCTCTTTCCATGGAATCATCTCTCACAGGAGTGTTTAGTACCTCACCATATGTTTTTCCTTGCCTCATTATAACAATAAATCAAATCGGAAACTTATTAATTTATTATCCATATATTCGAGACAGAAACATGGAGCCCAGGCAATAAACAAGCTCATACTTCCTATGAGAAAGCCTTTGTATCCAAATATAAATGAAAGCCTCGATCTCCATAGCAAAATAACTAACTTCTCCCTTTCCAAACCCTCTCTTCTTCCTGAAAGTCTCTCTCCCGATCAGGAAGCATTACTTAACGAAATCACCATAGAAGAGATCGAGGCCGCGATTAAAATATCTCCCAATAAAGCTCCTGGCCCAGATAACANTGACTTTTCCCCCATAGTCATGAGTCACCTTCTCACGGCTAAGTCATTAGCTTCATGAGGGTCATGCTCTCTGCCAGCCCTCATGTTGGGAGGATCTCACCATGGTGGGCGAGAGTCATGTGTCGGTCCACCACATGACAGCGGGGCCCACCATACCTTTAACTCCTACCTTCATTAAAAAAAAAGTAAGTTCCTTACCCCATAAAGGGCACTTTGATTTTATCCATCCCTTCTTACACCTTTGCGGCCTCAACTATCCTAATCGCTTCCATCCCCCACCAATTAAGGCAGCTCAGCGTCAATCGTAGGATCTCTCTCTTTAGCTAGTCTGCCTTATTAAGCAGCTATCCTCTCTATCTGTCGGGACAAACAGGGAGCCTGATAAAATGTTTTTTTTTTTAAACAGCTGGCACCTGTCAATCCCAAGTAGCTCACAGGGCACCTGATAGGTACCTGAAACTTATATAAAGCTATTATTAAATGGATAGGATTTAATAATTTTTAAAAGTGGGTCTAAAATAGCCCCAACGTGTTTTCATTCTTTAAAAGTCAACGAATAGGTCTCATCTTTTTCTAGGCTGCTATTGCAACTGTCCTAACTAATGAGTAATCTGTAAAACAGACGGGAGAAACCTCGGTCTCCGACCAGGACAATGGGGACCATTCCCATTGTCTAAATCAGCTTCGAGGGGTCTTGCGCCTGCCAGCCCGCTCGCAGGAGGGTTTCACCAGGACTGGCGGGACCCCTGATGTACACACCATTAGGGAGAGGGGCCAGTCCCCCATTAGCTCCTATTCTTTCAAAAAAAGCAGGTTCCTTCATCCGAAAGGAGTCTTAGAATAACAAGAATATCTGTGGCGCAAGCCCCGTTTCCGCATCCTAAGGACATGAAGAAACGGACTGAATTTGCAGATACTTCGTAGAACAGCAAAGAGCAGACCTCCTCCTGAAATGTCCTACAATTAGTACTTTAAGGGGAAGATCACCCTCTGTATTGTTCTTTGTCTCCTGCCCATCCATGGGACAGACATTTGCATGGGTTGTACTTGTACAGGCTGTGCTAGTACTGCATATAGAAATGCCTTCACCTTAGGAATGCCTCCAGTGGAGAAAAAATTTAGGAGAAATATTAACTCCAACATTGGCCCGATGTTTTTCCATGTAGTAATCCCATAAATGGACAAGATGAATGCCAATACCGGGTCAATATATATATTCCTTGGCAGTCGATATTTATCCAATATTGGAGTGCTACTGGGAAACACGTTGCCAACATTAGGCCATATTTGCCCCAATTCATTGGTTCTCCACTGGCCGATGAGACATTACGGGATTGACACACCATTGGCGGCCAAGGGTGGTCCAAGCACTTTGCCGATGATATCCCATGCTTGGCCCAATGAAGATTGACTATCTGGCGAAGAACTGCCAGTTTTATTTGATGAATAGCAATCTGATCCCGGCTGAAAGCAGGGCACACGCATTATGTCAAGTTCTCCAGCGGCCATGAACACTGTCGAAATGTCTTCAGCTGGGAGTGGGTCGGCTCACCAGAGCAGTGCTCTGTCCTGCGGATTGCGCTGAATCGGTTTACTTAATTCCAAGTTTCGGGAAATATGCAAAATGGTAGTTCGTTCCATGAGTCTATGGCTTTGTGAAGGAAGAAGTTTAGGGTTTTTGCAGTTTGAAAACGAGTGCCTTGCACAAATATTTTGTTTGATAAAT